CTATGTGACCTTGAGCGAACAAATCTCCCTGGCTCTCAAGTCTCCCAGCCTTTCTGTGCTCCCTGGGATCACAAGGAGCTGGCTGGATGATGCATTAGCCTATCAGCTCTTTGAGAGGAGGGATCACTTAAATTCACCCATTGTCTTCCCTGTGTAGGCGAACAGTCCCTGGGCTTGGTGATGGAGGGCTAAATCCAAACCTCTTCCTCTCTATTTCTACTACCAAGTTCCCACGTCCAAAACATGTGTTTTGTTTTGTTTTGTTTTTCTTCTATTCTTTCCCCCTTATTTCTCATAGTCAATTAGTTACCAGGTGCTGGCTGACCCACCTCTGCACCATCTCCCCTACTCTCTCTTCTTCCTATTCCTCAGCCATCTTTCCTCCGTAGAGTTCTGGCCAAATCCCAACTCTGCTTTAAATCCTTCTGTGGCTCACTGTCTGCTGGGTCAGGTCCGAATTCCTCTGCCTAGCATTCAAGGCTCTCCACAAGCTGGTACTTCTCTCCTGTCCCAGGCATGACTCACTGACTCTGTTCTGAGAAACTCCCTACCCCTGTCCCACTGCTCGTGCCCTCTGACCTTAATGCCTTTCCCTGGAAGGCTCCCCTTCCTCATTGCCACCTGTGCAATTCCTTCTTGGCATTTAAAGTCAGCCTCCTCCTTGAAGCAGCCTTCCCAGCTGTTCTGGCTCAGGACTTCCTCCCAGACCTCCTGGTGTCCCCTTTTCTTTATCATGGTTATTTGGGAGAGACAGCAGGTTGTAGTGGGCAAAGCTGTCTTTAGAGCCGGAAAAATCTGCGTTTTTATCCTACCCTTGACACATGCTGACTTTGTGACCTTGCCTAAATTAATCTCTCAGGGTTCAAGGCAAACTCTCTAAGCTGTAGAAAAAGTGCCAACCAGCACAGGTAGAGGTATTTTCCTTCCCTGGGACTTCCCTATACCAATGAAATCAGGTCCTATCACTAGTTAAATATCTTTGTATCTTATTCCTTAACTAGACTGAAAAATAGGCTACCACGTTCAAATGCATGTAATATTATGACTCAGGAGCCTAGAAAACCTAGCAGTTAGATGGCAAAGTAGATAGAATGCTGGGCCTGGAGTCAGAAAGGCAGGAGTTCAAATCTAACCTCAGATACTTCCTATCAGTATGACTTTGAGCAACTCACTTAATCTGCCTCAGTTTCCTCATCTATAAAATGGAGATACCTACCTCTTCAGGTTCTTTTAAGGATTTAAATGAGCAGATATGTATAAAGTACCCTGCAATCCATAGTCCTACAGAAATTGTCAATTATTTTTGTTACAAAGGTGTTTGTTGTATCTGAAATATTGGCTGAGCTGAAGGTGCCATGCTGGGTCCCCAGTAGGCTGAGCTCCTTCGAAGTAAGGGCTGTTTCTCCGCCTTCCTTTGTATCCCCAGTATTTAGTACAGTGCCCAGCATTTAGTAGGTGCTTAATAAATGTTAGGTAACCAACAAGCAGAGCTCCTACCTGCCACACTCCAAGCCAACCTTGGCTCAGCCACGTGACCCAGCCAGTCTAGAACCTCCCATCATGTCCAGGAGCATGGTGGGCCAGACAGCCGTTTGAAGTCAGAGCATACATCTTGTGCTCTGGGGCACAGAATCTGCTGCCAAAATTAAGCTCAATCTCCTCTCCAGGGATAGAACCAGAAGCTCCCTGGACTCCCAGAGCTAGAAAAGACCTCGGGGGCATCTAATTCAGACCTGAGGCACAAAGCCCTCCAGCAACATCCTTAACACAGGCTTATCCAGCCTCCCTGCACTGGTGGAAACCCAAGGCCGCTCATTCATTCCATTCTGAAAGGTTGTCATTGTTTAGAACTTTCCCCCTCACACAGAGAAGAAACCAGCCCCCTCTGCAATTTATGACTATTCCTAAGAACAGATCCAACCCCTCCTCCAGGTGCCCTAAGAGTAGGGAACTTGTCCCGCCCCCCATTTCTCCTCTAGGATGGACCCAGGCCCTTCAATGGGTCATCAGGCGGTGGTGTGGTCTCCAGCCTCTTCATCATTGTGGCTGCACTTTCATGGAAATTCTTCGGCTAAATCGGGGCCCTACAGAACTGGATGCGCCACTCCAAATGAGGTCTGACCAGGACTTTCAGTCAGCCGTGAGATTTCTGCTACCACCATTCCAGGCCTTCTCTAGCAACCCACGCTCACGTTAGCTCTCCTCTTCTGGGCTGCCAAGTCACGATAACTCCTAACATCCAGCCCACTTTGACTGTGGCCTCAGGAGAAATGACCGCTGAGAAAAAGGGCCTCAGTGCTCCAAGGGGAAGTGCCCAAGCATCCCCAACTTATCACGGATGGAGCCCTGGGCTTGAGGTCAGGGTCCTTGGTTCCCAGATCCCAGGGCTACCTCTTACTCACTGGGTGACTGGGAACCAGTCACTTCCTCTGGTCTGTTTCCTGCTCTGGAGGATGCAGCTCACGGTCCCTGCCAAGCCTCCCTCACAGGGCCCATGCAAAGGGGGAACAGACACATAAAACACTTCTGTAAAGCAGAATACACTAAGCAAATGGAGCTTGAGGTCTTTGACCTTCCTTTGGCCCAGAAGAGGAACAGCTTCATTCTGGGGAGAGGCCACCATTCCTGGGCCCAGGAGCCCTGCAGGCACTTGGGACCCTCTCGACCAGTCACACATCTTACTGGTTAATCAGTTGCTGGTTGAAGGCAAACTCGGGGAGAAAGAACATCAAGGTCTCTCCGCATGGGATCTTCCCATGGGGTAATCAGGGTGGGGCTGCACCCTCAGGTGGGTCTCCTGCAGAATGCCTGGAAGCAGGGTCCTCCTGGGACAGTCTGCCCTCTCTTGCCCCTGGCTAGTTCCATCAGGCCTTCCTTCTTCCTTGCACCTCAACCTCCAAGAAGACATCATGGGAGAGTAGAGCCAGGAAGCTGGCCTGAATGCTTACTGTGACTTACCCTCTCTGGCCCTGCTCCCTCATCTGTAAAAGGGGTTGGATTAAGTGACCTCAAAGATCCCAAACAACTCAAATGTTCAATCTCTTAAAGTCCTTTCTGGATTGAGCAAATTACTTCTCCTCTCAGGGCCTCTTGTGTCTTTTGGACTAGGCCTTGAGGTCCCTTCCAGTTGACATTGGGTTCTAAGGTCTCTTCTAATGGGGGCAAATGTCATTTCAAGCCTGAGCCCACTTTCTCACCTGTAACATGGGGGGGGGGCCAGTAGGCAGTGGTGTTAAGAGTGGAATGTCCGATGCCACTTCTAGTTCTTAATCTAGAATTATGGACTCCAAGAGGCAGCTCTGTCTCTTCTCAGCCCTAGGCTGGGCAGGAAGGATGGAGCAGCTGGGGCATGGGATAAAAGAAGTGGTCATGGTTGTAAATGACATTGACAGATAGTTGTGAGGTTTGCCAAGCATTCTTCTGTACCAACATAATCTCATCTAATCCTCACAGGAACCCTAAGAGCTGAGTACCCTCTCTCTGGGGTGATGCTTGGAAGGTAGTGCTGGTATTAGAATCCAGGTCTTTCTGGACTCGTGAGTCTGGGGCCACCCCCACTACACCATAATCCCTTTAGAAAATGCCAAATCTGAGGACCTTAGAACATAGAATATCAGAACTGGGATGGCACGTGTGTTGAAATGTAGTCATCAAAATATTCAGTTTCATGTTCAAAGAACCCAGCTTAGGAAACTGGAGGGAGAAGAGGCCAGCAAGTCTCTGTGCACCCTCAGACCAGCCTGCAAGGCCAGGTCAGAAGTGAGACCAATCCGGACCATGCGGAAGGGGCATGGGGTTTCCTGGGGTCTTCCAGAAGTCTGTCAGCCTTGGTACAACTCCTCATCCTAAGGTGTTCTGAAGGCTGACTGGAGAATCTCTTCAATATTTTCCAGCTCTTCCAGTGTGAATGTTGAGGCCCAGTGACTGGCCAGTCTGTCTCCCAATCAGGACATGAGGTCAACTCTTCTGCTTCCGCTAAGACAGCAACTGGTGGGTCAGCTCTGCTTGGGGAGGTTGGAGGGGGGAAATAAACAAGTGGCACCTGCTCTCAGCTGGAAGGGATAGGAAAGGACTGACCCCCTTCTCCCAAAGGTCAGATAAGGTGAGACCTAAAAATAAAAGGTGAGAGAGGTGGTGGTGGTTACTCCACCCCTTCCCTACCCCTGAGGACGGGCACCCACGTCACAGGAGCTGCTGTGTAGGCAGTTCCGGTGGTTCTCTTCAGTTATCTGGAGGAGCACTTCTCACAGGGAGCAGACTTCTCTACTTGGCCCCAGCGGGCAGAGCTAGGAACGAGGTGCGATGGGTTTTTGAAGGCACTGAGTTCCCCATTACTGGTGGTCCTGAAGAAGCCAGATGCTCACCCCTAAGGGAGGCCTCTGGGAGGACTCCTACATGGTTGGGGGGGGGGGCAGACTAGATGACTGCTAAGGTCCCCTCCAGCTCTGCTACTTCTAGGGGCCTCTGACCCTGGAAGCCAAGGTTCTTTCTGCTCCACAGTCTACTGATTTCTCCACTCATGCCCTAAGGGCAAAGGTAACAAACAATAAAACACAATTGGGGGTGTCTGGAGCAGAGGAGGGGAAGGGAGGACTGAGAAGAGTGACACCAACCTCTAGCTTCAGGCCCTTCAGGAGAAAGGGAGGCAGGGGTGGCAGCTCCCCAGGGGAGGACCCTTTCCTGCAAAGACTATTCTGTGACTCTCCTGCATTACTCCCTGGTGGGGAACACAGGGAATCCATCCCCCATCCCCGACCTTCCTACAGAAGGCAGGCTAGGGCTGGAGGCAGGGGAGGGGCTAAGGCAGCAGAAGCAAGGGTTCCTGGCACTAGACTGGACAGATGCCAGCCTAGGGCCTGGACTTCCTCCCCAACCCTGCGGGCTTTCTTAGACCTGGCCCAGCTTCTCCCTCCCCCACCCTCCTAGAAAGCAAGGGAAAAAAAGAGGCTGGGCTTACAGTTTTCACTCATAACCAGATGACTTGGAATGAAGCTGCCAAATCAAAGTCCAGAACCCTTGTGGTTTTTAATGTGGGGGTGTGGGAACAGGGGGGTAAGAAGGGAGGTAGGGTTGGGGGCAGGTATCCTCCTCCTTCCTGGGTATTTCCTGGTCTCCTCAGCTCAGGGGGATTGCCGTAGAGCACAGCAGTCACGCCATCTCTGGACGACTCCCAGGGTTCAGCTCCTATGGGGCAGAGGGGCAGGCAGTGTTAACAAGGGCCCAGTGGTGGAGTCCAAGCCTTCTCACTCCCTCATTCCTGCAAATGTCACAGCCGGTAACTTTTCCCCGACAGATTAACCAGCTGGGGTAAACAGAGCCCTCTCACTTTCAAGGACCCTTCTGAGGGTCAACAGAAAAAACCACAAGTATCCAAATTTCTAATTCCTCAGCTCTAAACCAAGCAGCAGCTTCATGGAGCTTTGAGGGCTTGGGGCCGGGAGCCAAGAGGCTGCACTTCTGGGGTCTAGGAAAAGGACCCTGAGTTGGGGGGAGGATGACCTACACGCACCTTCAGGCCCGATACTTCCTATCTGTGTGACTGGCGAAGTCGCTTACCTCTCTGGAACTCAGTTTACTCATTTGTAAAATGAGGAGCCAGGAGTCAGTTGGGTACCCTATATAGTACAGGAGTGTGCATCAACTATTCACCCAACAAACATTTATTAAGCACCTACTGGGTGCAGAGAACTATGCTAGGTACTTGGGGAGATACAAAGTTAAACTGTCTGCTGCTTCCAGGCCAAGATCCTCGGCTTCCTCCACCGTCCTCCACCAGGCCCATCAGTCAACATGAACTGCTTTGTACTGCCCCCTTGTGGCCACTGCCACCAACGGCAAAGCCAGGTTCGGTTCTGTCCCTCAGAATCAGCCTTTCTCTAAGCAGGAGGACCGGGCAGAGGGATCCTGGAGAGACTCGTGGGCCAAGCCCTTCCTTTCACAGAATAAGAAACCGATGCCCAGAGAGGGAGCTTAAGGTCAGCAGCAAAGCCCGGATCTGAAACCAAAGGTGTCCATTCTGTCCAACACACCCTGCAGTCTCAAATCAGAACACCTCCAGCCACCTTTGGGGCATCTCCTGTCCTCAGCGAGCCCCTTCAGCCTCCCGCAGGACCGGCTTCTTCCCCACCCAGGGCCCGTGCTGCCCCTGCCGTGGGAGCCGCTCACCCCAGCTCATGATTCCAGCGCTTTCACGATAGCTTCATTGGCTTCTATCCGGATCTGAACCTCGGCCCGTGCTGCCTCATCTGGCGCCCCAGACAGGTCTGAATGTGCCTTTTCCAGGTTGGATTTGGCGGCCTGAGAAGCAAACGGCAAGAAAACAAGAGGACTGTGGGTGGGAAAAAAAAGAATGAGTTCCTGGGAGGGCCACCCCCATCAGCAGGAGCAGGGCAGACAGGTGCCACTCACAGTGAGGACAGGCGACACACTTTCACGGGGCACTCATGCGACCAGGGTGGGGATGGGGAACAGGGCACCAGGACAGGAGAGTGCTGCGTGGGTGGGGGTCCAGGTCAGGGACCGCTCGGTTTGGGGCTAAGCCTGTCAGGAGACTGACTGAACCCTGGGGTCCTAACCTTCTCCCTAGGTAAAACACAAATGCCCACTGGGCACTGGAAGCTCTCTACAACGTGGTCATGGCCCGTCTTCCACTGCTCCCATTCACCCTCCTCTCCACAGGCTGCAGAGCTGGCCTCCCTGCTGCTCTTTACACACGACCATCCATCTGGACTCTGTGCCTTTATCCTGGCTGTGCCCCACACCCACAATGCACTCTCCTCTCCTTCCCTCTACCTCTTCAATCCCCTTGCTCCAAGGTCACCGTAACTTTTCCAGGAGTTGTTCCGGGTCCCTGACCACTCGTTTACATTTCCTGATATGTGTGTATAGAATCCTCCTGACTGAAGGTAAGTTTTTCCAGGTAGGGACCGTTTCATCCTGTTCAGCACCTAGCACAACGCCTGGCCCATGGCAGGTCAATGCTTGTTGGTGCTCAGATTAGCCTCCTAGGATCCACCGGGGAGCCAGAGTTCAAAGCACGAAGGCCAGACAAGGCCGGAGTACCACGTCTGCCTCAAAGAGGCATCCAGCATCCCCAGGCCAGGAGAGAGAGAAAGAGGCAGTCAGGCCTCCAGGGAGAAGGCCAAGGACTCTGAGAAGCAGGAGCCAGGCGTCTCTGCACTGCCTCCCCTGCTGAGTCAGTCAGGCCCCGTTGCCAGGTAGGCATTGATGGGTTGCCTGGCTGCGGGGGCGGCGGGAAGGAGAAGCCGCAGCTGTTCCTGCAGATCCCAGGTGGGGTGGCCTCAGCACCATCCGGGGATCTAGGCTAAGAGCGGAGGGTTGCAGGGGGACTCATGCCAGGGCCTCCTAGAGTGTTGTGTACATGTGCCCCGATGACACTTCCATTCAATGAACCTTTATGACACGTCTACTGATCGCTGGGCACAGATGGAGATAACAAAGGTGGGAAAAGACAGTGCTTGGCCTCAAGAGGCTTACAGTGGGAGCAGGAGGCAGAAAACCTCTTACCATTGTCCCAACATACGCTGCCAGAATCATTTTTCTAAATCTCAGCTTTGCTGACGTACTCACCCTCCAGAGCTCCCCAGGGCCCCTAGCCTGGCACGTGACTCTTCCATGGCCTGGTTCTCGCAATCTCCTTCCTGTCCTTTCATTCTCACCTCACATACCTCCCTCCAAACTGTTCCCACGAGATTGGACAACTCATCATTCCTTAAACATGCCTCCATAGTAGCCCTTGGATGATCCCCTCCTCTCTGCCTTTTCTCCCCCTCACTGATCTCTCCTTTGGATGACGCCCCTCCAGCTCCAGGCCTTTCTCCTTACCTAATGATAGCAATTCCCATCTCTAGAGAATTCGCGTCTAGACAAGGCTCTCCTCACAGCCAGCCAATAAGGCAGGGTGTGCAAACATTTCTGTTCCCATTTTTGAGATGAGACTAAGCTTTCAAGAGGGCATCACACTGGCAGAAGATCGAAGAGTGGACCATTAAAAGCCAGACCTTCTGAACAGGTCAGCCCTCTTTTCCACTACATCACGATGTCTTTGTCGTGCCTTGCAAGGCAGATGTTTGTCCACGGTTTATCTCATCTCTTAGACTGTGAGCTCCTCAAGAAGTATGGATGGGCCTTCATTCACCCCCTTTTCCCTACAGGTGTGGGTGCAAGGCCCTGGGGAGAGACAGAGACAAAGAAAGCCTGGCTGGCAAAGGCTCTTTTCAGCGAGGGGCCCACCACCCGGGGTGAATCCTCTCGGGGAGGGGGAGGGAACTCACCGCCAGGTCCAGCATGTCCAGAGCCACAGCTTCTTCAGCCAGCAGCTGCACCGAGGAATCGGCATTCACCGTGACAGAACCACTGCTCACTGTGGGCAAAGCAGAGCACGGGGGCCCAATGAGGCATGATGGGAAGGGGATTCTGAGAAGCAGAAGGGCCTCAGACCTCCTGGCTGAACCGGAATCTCCTCAACATGTCTCTGACAAACAATCAGCCAGAACCTGAAGACCCGTTGTGAAGGGGCCCCGACCCCTCCCTTCCCCCTCAGGGTGGCTCCACTCCCTGGGACATTTATCCTTCCACAGAGCCAAGACTGGCCCCTCTGCCTCCCTCCCATTGCTCTTGGTTTTCCCCTGAGGCTGAGTAGAACAAAGCTAATCACTGTTGTAGCAGCTTCGAATACATAAAAACAGCTCCTGAGTCCCCCAAGATCCCTACTCCCAGCTGAAGATTACAGGCTGCTTTCACTGTTCCTCATAGGACCAGGTCTCCAGGGCCCTTCTTATCCTGGCCTTCTTCCTCAGAACATGGCTGTTTGTCACTGTGCTTCCCAAAATGTGGTCCCCAGGGAAGCTTGGTAGTGCAGTGGATAGAGCACTGGCCCTGAAGTCAGGAGGACCTGAGTTCAAATCCGGCCTCAGACCAAACACTTGACACTTACTAGCTGTGTGACCCTGGGCAAGTCACTTAACCCCAATTGCCTTAAAAAAACAAAATTTGGCCTCAGACACATAACACTGACTAGCTGTGTGACCCTAGGCAAGTCACTTAACCCCACTGCCTAGCAAAAAAACAAACCAAAATGTGGTCTCAGAATTGGGCATAGTGATCAGAGAGAGTTTGACCAAAGCAGAGGACAAGAGAGGAGGATCGGGGAAAGCCTGGAGTTGGAAGCAGCTTCCGGAGTTCTCCATGGGGGAACTGGAGGTACTGGGGAGGCTAGAGTGGCAAATTAATCATAGCTAACATTTACATAGCACTTTAAATAAACACTGTCTCATTTTATCCACATAACAACTCTGGGAGATAGGTGCTATTATTACCCCCATTTTACAGATGAGGAAACTGAGGCAGAAAGATAAATGACTTGCCCAGGGTCACACAGTATTAAGTGTCTAAGGCCTCATTTGCACCCAGATCTTCCTAGACACAGAGTGAGAGAGAGTGAGAGAGTGAGAGTGTATGAGTGAGTGTGTGTGTGTGTGTAGTACCTTTGTCTTTACCCAGAGTTCTTGGAATTATCCTAATTCCAACCTCATCATTTTAGAAAGAGGGAAACTGAGGCCTACATTCTTTGCTGTTCAGTCGTGTCTGACTCTCCGTTACCCCATTTGGGGTTTTCTTGGCAGAGACACTGGAGTGGTTTGCCATTTCCCAGATCACTTTACAGATGAGGGACTGAAGCAAACAGGGTCAAATGACTCGTCCAAAGTCACCCAGCTAGTAAGTGTCTGAGGTCAGATTTGGACTCTGGTCCTCCTGAGTTCAGGCCCCACGCTCTATCCACCGTGCCACCTCATTACCACTGAGGAAGGGTCAAGCACAGAAGGATCCCACAGTTAGAAGGGACCCCAGAATCTCTCTAGCCCAACCCATCCCTGAACAAAAGAGCTCCACCTTTGTCCCCACACCACTCTCAGAAGTGCTTGGCCAGCCCCTCCCGGAAGCAGGACCCCCCTGCCTCTGGAGGCAGCCTGTACCACATGGGGAAGGGGGTTCTTCCTGACATGGAGCATAAATCTGCCTCTCCACTGCTCCTGGGCCTGCCCTTGGGGGCCAGGCAGAACAAGCCTGATCCCTCTTCCAAGAAGAAGGGACAGACCCTAATCAGTGTCAGACACAAGGCCCTCGGGCCCCAAGATCGAAATGTAATTGGGAAATATTTAACAAGATAAAAACACAACAAAACAAAGCTAATATTACATCTTAAGACTAAGCCATGGATTAGTGGCCCCTGTTCATTTTGAGTTTGACATCACTTTCCTAGATCACAGGAGCTGGTGGCAGAGCCAGACGGGACTAAAACTTAGTTTTCCTGACTCCAAATCCAATATTCTTTCCCACACCAATGCTGCCTGATTTAAAAAAAAAAATCTTATTTTTCAAAGCTGATGGAAGGCCTGAAAGTACCCTGGCCCTGGCCAAAGGCCTCAAACATTCACATACCAAAATACTTGGTGGTGGTGCCATCCTCGGCGTGCACGGTCACCACCCCGGGCTTCAGTACCTGCAGGGTGGGGACATGGGCAGCGAGGATCCCAAAGGCCCCAGTCTGGGTTGGGACATCCACCTGCTTCACGTTGGCCTTGTTGAAATATACCTGGAGAGTCAAGGAGAGGGAAGGTGAAGGATCAGCGGCTGGCCTTGACCACGTGAAGGAAGCCAAGGAGTGCTCCGGGATTTTTATCCTCTTGCTCAAATCCTATGAGGAGCCCCCACTTCCTAAAAGGAACGGGCAACCAGGATGGGGAGAACTGATGACAATGCAGATAGTAACTCACTTTCCTCATGGCCCAAGGACAGAGATGGCACAAGTACTGTTAGACCCACTACACAGATGAGAAAACTGAAGGTCAGAAAAGTTGAGGGATTCGCTGAAAGACTGGGGCATGACTGGAATGATCTTCTTTCCAAGCAATTACTATTTTTGCTTTGTTATAAGACGGGGGAAGGTATACAATCTTATCCCCTGGAAGTCAGAGGAAGGCAAAGCAGAGGCAGCTTAGGCTAGTGGCTAGAGAGCTGGCCCTGAAGCTGGAAGGCCTGAGTTCAAGTCCTGCCTCTGACTCACAATGGCTACATGACCCTCTCAGTGTTCCAGGCAGCTCTTTCAAAGGGGCAGAGAAGACCCTGACCTGCACTAGTATAACAGAGGGAGTTTCCTCAACCTAGACCAATAGAATCACAGGATCTGTCTCAATCCCTAGCAACAAACAGTTGAGAGGGGGCTATGAAATGTGTAATGTCAGAGATGGGAGGACTTGTAGAACACAGAATGTCAGAGGTGGAAGGGCCCTTAGGATACTGAATGGCAGAGCTGGGACGGTTCTTACAACATAGAATGTCAGAGCTGGGAGCGCCCTTAGAGCATGGAATATCAGGTAGGAGGGCCCTTAGAACAGGGCATGTCAGAGCTGGCAGGGCCCTTAGAACATAGAATATCAGAGCTTGGAGGGCCCCATGGAATATCAGGCAAGAGGGCTCTTAGAACATGGCATGTCAGAGCCGGGAGGGCCCTTAGGACATGGAGTATCAGGTAGGAGGGCCCTCAGAACATGGCATGTCAGAGCCGAGAGGGCCCTTAGAACATGTAACGTCAGAGCTGGGGGGAGTCCCTAGAACCCAGGTGGTCGGAGGTGAAAGCCCCCGGACCCCACCGCACCCGGGCGGCCCCGGAGAACGTCCTGCTGCTCTTTGTACAGGGAAGGAAGGAAGAGTCAAGGCCCCGTCCGGGACCGCCCCCCCCGCCGCCCACGCGGAGTCCTCCGAAGGTCAAGGCTGCGCGGCCCCTCGCGCCTTGAACCCTCCCCCCCCACCTCCTGCCCCGGCCCCCAGAGTGAGCACCACCCCCGTCCGCCCCCGCCATCCCCCCGCCCCGGCTGCCCCGGAGGCCACACCTGCGTCGGGGAGGCGAAGGTGAAGGACATCTGGCCGGGAGCGGCGGCGGCGGCGGCGGCGGCGGCGGCCGGGGCGGCCTCGGCATAGGCGCGGGCCGGAGGGGCCGGCACCCGGGCTTGGCGCAGCAGGCGGAGGCCGCAGCGGCGGAGCAGGGCGGTGGGCAGCATGGCGGCAGCGGTGGCGGACGGTCCGGGCAGCGGGAGCACGGGAACGGGCTGCCGGGCCAAGGACGGAGAGGTGGGCCGCGCAGGGGAACCTGGGAAAGGTGACGCGGACTACGGCTCCCAGCAGACCGCGGGGCGACCTCGGGCGCAGAGGTCACGACGCCTGCCGCACGGGCTGTCGGGAGTCGTAGTTCTCCCTCCGGCGACACCTTGAGACCTCTGGCTTCAGCTTGTGGTAATGACTCGGATGAAGATCTGAGGAAAAACTTTTTCCAAATGTTTTATTAATACTCTTTCCCTTTTGTATCACTGTCACTCTCAAGCTCACTGCCATCCCCACCTGTGCATTAGAACCCCACTTTTTCACGAATCACTACAGCCAAGCAGAACAAAATGGACCCGTTGGACCTGCCTCGTTGTGCACCCCTTGTCCCCTGGGGCAGACCTTCACCCACAAGTCTTCCTGGTCCCTCCATTGAGCGGAGCGCTGACGTCTTTAACGCCCCTTTGCTTTCCATGATCATCCTGTAAATGGTTCCACTAGCTGGGCTATTTCTCCCTGCATCAGTTCAGACAAGTCTTCTGGTGTTTCTTTGAATTTCTTCTTCATATTCAGAACATCAGATCTTAAGATGGTGGAAGGAACAGAGAATGGCAGGACTAGGAGGCACCTCAGAAAAGAAACTATCAGTGCTGGGAGGGATCACCGAAGGGCTGGAAAGGACGCAAGAGATCAATTAGCCCAATCCTCTCTTTTTACAGATGAGGAAACTATGGCCTGGAAGGGTAAAGTGAGCTGAAAAGGACCTTAGAGATCATATTCTCCAACCCCTACATTTTACAAAGGGAGAAACTGAGATACAGAGACATAATAGGTGCATGGAATTTAGAGCTGAAAGGGATTTATTTCAAGATCATCTCTTGTGAATAAGGAAACCCAGGGGAAGTGGGAAAGGGACTCCCCATAGCCCAAAGCTGGGGCTAGAACCCTGGTCTCCTGACTCCAAGGGCTCTTTCCATGGCATCTTACTACCAATCCCACAATAATAATTCAGTAGCAAACAATCAATTTATAGGATTGACACAATTAGACAAATCTTTTACAAAGTCTATTAGGTGCAAAGCCTGGGGTGTGAGATCTTGCCTGCTGTCCTTCATTCTCAAAGAAGACCAAAATGACATCACTATATTAGAGTCAAGTTACAGTACGTAGGTCCGACTGTGGCTTATCAGCCCAATAGGAGTTCGGAGTGCTCTACCACAGGTGGGGCACAAATAGTCCATGTGAACATTTGGTGTGGATTCCCTAAGTTTGTGCATTTCAAGTTTCTTTTGAGCTGCAATTCTGCTTTGCTCCTAGAACACAGCACCTTCTTTGCTGAGGGCATGCCAGGCTGGGTAGTCCTTTGCCAGTGTCTCCTATGTCATGAAATCAATTCCAAAGTTCTTCAGAGAGTCCTAAGAGTGTCCTTATATTGCTACTTCTTCTTTTTTAAAAATTTATTTATTATTTTGTTTTCCCCAGTTACGTGTAAAAAATAATTTTTAGCATTTGTTTTTAAAACTTTGAGTTCCAAATTCACTCCCTTCTTCCCTCTCCCTTCCCCCCATTGAGAAGGCAAGTAGTTTGATATAGGTTAGACATGTGTCATCATGCCAAACATTTCCATATTAGTCATGTTGTGAAAGAAAACACAGATTTAAAAAAAATCTCCAAAAAAACTCCTCTAGAAAAATAAAGAAAATAAAAAAGTATGCTTCAATCTGTATTCAGACACCATCAGTTCTTTGTCTGGGGATGGTTAGCATTTTTCATCCTAAGTCCTTCAGAGTTGTCTTGGATTGTTGTATTGCTGAGAATAGCTAAGTCATTCACAGCTGATCATCTTACAATATTGCTGCTACTTTGGACACAGTACATTTCACTTTGCATCAGCTCATGTAAATCTTTCCAGGTTTTTCTGAGAGCATCCTGTCCATCATTTCTTATACCACAATAGTATTCTATCATAATCACATACCACAATTTGTTTACCTATTCTCCAGTTGATGGACATCCCCTCAATTTCCAATTCTTTGCCACCAAAGGAAAGAGCTGCTGTAAGTATTTTTGTACATGTAGGTTTTTATTTCTTTTGGGATACATATCTAGTAGTGTTATTGCTAGGTCAAAGGTATGCAAGTTTTATAGTCCTTTGGGCATAGTTCCAAATTGTTCTCCATAATGGTTGAATCAGTTCACAACTCCACCAACAGTGCATTAATGTTTCATTTTTCCCACATCCCTTCCACAATTTGTCATTTTCCTTTTCTGTCCTATTAGCCAAATCTAATAGGTTTGAGATAGTACCTCACAATTATTTTAATTTGCATTTCTCCAATCAATAGTGAGAGCATTTTTTTCATAAGGCTATGGATAGTTTTGATTAGTTCATCTGAAAACTGATCATATCTTTTGATCATTCATCAATTGAGGAATGGCTCTTATGTTTATAAATTTGACTCAGTTCTCTATATGTTTGAGAAATGTGGCCTTTATCAGAGAAACTTGCTTCAAATTTTTTTTCACAGTTACTATTGCTAACTGTATTTCCCTCCATCCTATTCCCTCCACCCCCATTTACTCTATTCTCTCTCTCCTTTCACCCTGTCCCTCCTCTAAAGTGTTTTGCTTCTGACTACCCCCTCTCTCAATCTGCCCTCCCTTTTCTTATCCCCTTCCCCTCCTACTTACGTGTAGGGTATGATAGATTTCTATACCCAACTGAGTGTGTATGTTATTCTTCCCTCTTTGAGCCAATTCTGATGAGAGTAAGGTTCACATACTCGCCAGCACCTCCCCCATCTTCCCCTCCACTGTAAAAGTTTTTTCTTGCTCTTTTATGTGAGATAATTTACCCCATTCTATTTTTCCCTTTCCCTTCCTCCCATGCATTCCTTTTTCTCACCCCTTAATTTTATTTTTTTTAGATATCATCCCATCATATTCAACTCATACCAGTGCCCTCTGACTATATAAACTCCTTCTAACTGCCCTAATAATGAGAAAGTTCTTATGGGTTATAAGTACCATCTTCCCTTGTAGGAATATAAACAGTTTAACCTTTATTAAGTCCCTTATAATTTCCCTTTCCTTTTTACTTTTTTATGCTTCTCTTGAGTCTTGTATTTAAAGGTCAAATTTCCTATTCAGCTCTGGTCTTTTCATCAAGAATGTTTGAAAGTCCTCTATTTCATTGAATTGCCATTTTTCCCCCTGAGGGATTATACTTATTTTTTCTGGGTAGATGATTCTCGGTTGTAATCCTAGCTCCTTTTCTTCAGGAATATCATATTCCAAGCATATTCTACATCTTTTAAGCTGCTAAATCTTGTGTTATCCTGACTGTAGTTCCACGATACTTGAATTGTTTCTTTCTGGCTGCTTGTAATCTTTTCTACTTGACCTGGGAACTCTGGTGGCTATAACATTCCTGGGAGTTTTCATTTTGGGTTCTCTTTCAGGAGGTGATTGGTGGATTCTTTCAATTTCTATTTTACTCTCTGGTTCTCAGAATATGTTTTTTATGAAAATGTTTTGAATGATGATGTCTAGGCTTCTGTTTTAGTCATGGCTTTCAGGTAGTCAAATAATTTTTAAGTTATCTCTCCTGGATCTATTTTCCAGGTCTGTTGTTTTTCCAATGAGATATTTTACACTGTCTTCTATTTTTTCATTCTTTTGGTTTTGTTTTATTGTTTCTTGATTTCTCATAAAGTCATTAGCTTCCATGTGCTCAATTCTAATTTTTAAGGAATTATTTTCTTTCTTTCTTTTTTTAAAAATTTCAATGAATGTTTATTGAATTTGGAGGGTTTTGTGAAGTTCCACCTCCACACCAGAGGTGGGAGTATAGACAGAAATGACCTTAATAGGAATTATTTTCTTCAGTGAGCTTTTGTATCTCCTTCTTCATTTGGCCAATTCTATGTTTTAAGGAATTTTTTTCTTCGGTGAATTTTTGTGCCTCTTTCCCCATTTGTCCAATTCCGCTTTTTAAGGCATTCTTCTCCTCATTGGCTTTTTGTACCCCTTGAACCATTTGGCCTAGTCTGTTTTTTAAGGCATTATTTTCTTCAGTATTTTTTGTGTCTCCTTTACCGAGCTGTTTACTCATTTTTCATGATTTTTCTTGCATCACTCTCATTTCTCTTCCCAGTTTTTCCTCTACCTCTTTTACTTGATTTTCAAAATCCTTTTTGAACTCTTCCATGGCCTGAGACCAATTGATATTTTTTCTTAGAGGCTTTGGATGTAGGAGCTTTGACTGTTATCTTCTTCTGAGTGTGTGTTTTGATCTTCCTTGTCACCATCGTATCTTTCTATGGTCAGATTTTGTTTTTTCTGTTGTTTGCTTATTTTCCCAGCCTGTTAACTTGACTTTTAACTATTTGTTAAAATAGGGCTCTGCTTCCAGGGTGGAGGGTGAACTTTCCCAAGCTTACGGGGTTTTGTGCAGCTGTTTTCAGAAATACTTCTAGGGACCTGTAAGTTTTCAGTTCTTCCAAGGTGGTATAATCTAAAGAGAGGTGTTTATTACTCTCCTGGTCTGTGCTCTGGTCTGTGAGTGACCACAAGTACTCTTTTCTGCCCTGCTCTACTGTAGCTGAAAGCTCTGATGTGCTAGTGCTCCTCCTCTCCCTGGGACTTCCACCCAGGACTGGGACCCATATCTGAGTGTGGGCAAAGCAACAGAATCTTGCCTCAGTGCTGGCAAAGAGACCCCTGTAATGGTCTTCTGACCAGTTGTTTGACCCCCTTACATTCTGTGGGCTGAGCTCTGGAAGCAGCCACTGCTGCTGCTGATTCAGCCGCCCCAAGGGCTGCTTCTGGCTTGCTGGGGCCCGGTCTGTGCTAGACTGCACTCCACTCTCACCCCAGTACACCAGACCTTTCCTGCTGACCTTCCAAGTTGATTTTAGTGTCTGTGGGCTGGGAGGTCTGGAAACGGCCACTGCTGCCACTGATTCAGTCACCC